ATAGTAAGGAAAGCATAGGTGCCAGGTTCTGTGAGTTTTTAAATATATAATTACTTTGTTAGCAACACAGTTCTGTGCTGGTGAGGGCAGCCCCATGTTGCATTGCACTTGTATTGATATTATGAGCACGTAATCCAAAGCAGGATATTGGATCGTACCTCTTTCTCGTCGTCTTTTTTTAAACACATTTAAATCAGAAATCATGTGCATTCTTTGTCTTGCTTAATGTTTTTGGCATTGTTTGTTTCTCATTGTTTTTGTTGCTGGAGTAAGTACTAAAATGAGATGGAAAATTCACGACAAAAACTCGAGTGATTTTTCTCCCTCTTTCTCTCTCAAGCATCTGTTCTTGTGAAGTGACAGTAAGGAGCCCACACAAGCATTTACCCCAGATGCCCCCTCTGGCATCAGCATCTGTCTAATGAGAGAACTCAGTAGCTCCTTCAAAGACTAACAAAGCTGCTTTGATACGATGGCGTTTTAAGGAATTCAAGTGGCGTCTCTCTACGCAGGACTAAAATACATTTTCATAAAAACAGCATTTAGAAAAAAAACTCTCAAGACTAAGAGAGGGTTTTAACTGTATGCTTTTTCTATTCTGCATGTTTTGTCAAGTGACCATCATAGACACAAATCAGTGAAATGGTAATGTCCTGAACACACAGATGTTTAATGTGGTTAGTTTGTCATTTGCTGCCAGTTGAGGTCTTGATAAGGAACATGTACAGTTGTTTCAGAAATATGCTATAATATAACTGGAGCTTGTACTGTTGGTGATGGTTATGTATTACACTTTGACACCAGCAAGGAAATTAAATGGAAGAATTGTTTTTTTTATTTAATGCTGAAATTATTCTACTTTAATGGATAGTTTGTTGCAATATACATCACTGTCTTATAAATAAATAGATTTAAGGTGTCACAGTTGATGTCATATGCTTCTGCAATACATTGTAGACAAATTAGACCCCGCAATAAAATCCATCACGCTGATTGGATGGGCAAGGTCACCCGGACTAGAAGAAGTCATTCTCGAGTAAAGAAAAATAATAGAATTGTTTAAAAAATATTGTGTACTTGAAAATCAAACTATTTAGTCACCATGCTAGTTTACCTGCATGCATTTTTTATTGATAATATAAAATGTTTATCAGATGCAGACATTTTAGTCAAGGTTATGACTGAATGACTCTTTATTTGTCAAAATGAATAATACTCTTTGGAGGTATGACCACATTTAGTAGCTGCTAACACTTAGATGATAGCTTATCCATCACAGACTTGGCCTTGACACCTCCAGGGATCACTTTAGGCGTCAAAGCTATGATTCCTTCGGTGACCTTTGGACGACACACCGCACATAAATCATGCATGGACACGGTCATATCTGAAATTGTCCTGTGAAAGCTACATCAGCAGTGGGATGAAAGAAGCTCAGGTGGACACAGAAATACCTCAGCCACTGAACGTGACGGGGGGAGAGGGGAGACAAGTGGGACATTCATCACAAACAGGGAAGATACTGGAGGAGGAGAGGAAAGGTTGACAAATGGATGAGGTTCTACTCACATGCATGAAGAATGACAGACAAGGGAGCCCCTGTTGTAACACCAGGGATATACAGAAGACAAGGACATTGAGACGACAAGTGGCACTAATCCTACCACTGTGAATGGACGATACACGGCACAAACAAATGAGATTCTGCAGCCAATTGGTGGAATTCTGGTGGTTGTAATAGTCCATTTTGTTATGGCATTGTTGGATTTGTTTCTGCAGCTCTTTGAAAGTTTCACCATTGACATCACAGAATGTTTCTGTTTTGGCAATTTGTGCTTCTCCAGGAGTAGCAACTGCTTCTCACACAGAAAAGAGAAGGCTGAGAATCTGACAGAAAGTCAAACACAATCACATTCCACTGATAAAGAAAATAGAGTATTGTCTGCGTAACTTGGTATTTCGTGGATGAAACTTACAATTTACCTTCTTCTTTTGCTGTTTTTTTCTTCTTCTTTGGTTTTGGTTTTATTTTGACAAGCAACAAGGTAAAGGTGGATCAACTGCAGACCAGTTGGACTCTCACTACCTGCCAACTACGCTTCTTTTAACATTTATTGAACTCGTCAAGATGCAGCCTACTCCCACTGACAATCAATTCATGCTTTTACTTCTTCAGTGTCTTCCTGGATGAAGCAGTTTAGACTCTTGGGGTTAAGTGAATTTCCCAAAGACATATTTGCAAGGATTTCCCACGTTACATTCCCATAAAAACATATAAATCCAGTCCCTAATAAATAATTCACTTTTTTTCGATTTGTTTTCGTTCCACACTAGGTCAGAGGTCAAGGGTCAGCTTCACAGCAGCTTTCTTGGTGCTGGAAGCTAATAACTCCATGTGGAGCAGGGAGTCATTGGTCTGTTTCACAGTTCAGATGAATTGCTGCTGGCTAACAGAAGGCCTTTACTCTTTTGCTCCCCCGCTTGAATGATTGGCTCCTTACCCCCGCCATGCTGTGTTCGACACTAGCGGTATGTTTGCAACGTTGCTGTGATTTCCTACGGTGAGATGAGGGTTTGTGGTGCAGCCAGGCAGAGGCAAATGAACTTGTATAGTCATCTACAGTCTGCTTAAAAAAAGTTTTCTTTCCTAAAACGGGAGAGCTGCTGGGTTTCTTGTCAGGCCAATTAAAATTCACTGGGATATATGACATAAGCACAATGACTGTTTTTAAAATTTTCAGTCCAGGGCTCCAGCCTTTAGGTACCAAGCCACGCAGTAGGAAATTTAACCAAGTTATAGGGCAGGCCATGGTACTAGAGAAGGACCTAGCATTCCAATAACACTGATGTCTCCAAATATTTGGTTAACCTATTACAAACACTGACTTTCATGATCGTCTTTCCAATATTGTGGTAAAAGAAGCAGATTGTTATTTTCTGTTGGTATAAATGATACGTTTGACAGTTGCATAACATTTAATTTGCATATTCAAATATAATTTTTGTATTGGTTTGTATTTTATTGTATTGGTGATAATGATCTGAAGATGAGACTGAACTTATTTTTCATTTTTCAGATATATATCTGTTTAAAAAAAGATGCGCGGAGAAAGAATCTTCTCAGATCTTATTGTGCACTCACAGATTTCTACATCCTGACACATTTCTACATTCTGACAGTGTCAAAGTGGTGTCCGCCTCTGTGTTTCAGGAGGGGTGCAGCAGATGCTATCAAAACAAGGACGCCGTGGACATCCATCACGGTCACTTTTGGAGACAGCAGATCTGCGATGAGCCCACGGCGTGCGTCATTGCGCAGCCACGCATGCATTCGGCTCCCAGTGTTTAATAGGAATCCGCTGACAGAGCACATCCAGTTATCTGGGCAGTCACATGTGCGCATGGAGCAGCGGCTGCTGTCTCAAACCAACCAGGACTGAGGTCTCGATCACAGCCTCCACAGACGCTTACAGGATATCACCGCTACCTTTCTGGCTCTTCTCCTCCAGGATGCACCAACTATTGTGACATGCCATCGCAGATCGGCGCCTTCAGGTAAAGTTTAGGAATAAACTTTGTCACCGTTTCTAGTTTTTGACTCAACATTTACCCAGTGGCACCTGATCTCTCTTCCTCCCTCTGCTTCATCTTTGTGCCTTGCGCGTCTTTTCCCTCTGCGCGCATTTGACTGGTGCGTAACACCAGCTGGACACCCGTGTCCATTTAAAGTCTAAAGTAAACGTGATGCACAGTTAAAGTCCTACCATCGGTAAAACGTTCAAATGTAGTCAATACCAGTCCAGTGTTATAGCCCGTGTCCGTGTGCGCAGCCCACGTTTTCTTAAATCTCCTGCTTTCAATTAACTCTGCCGCCTGAGCTGCCGCTGCACCACAGCTGAGATGATGTCTTTTTTTAACAATCACCAGGGTGATGAGGTTAACAGGTTTTGCTTAACCACGACAATCGTTTAATCGGTGATTGATTTTCTCCCAGGGAAGGTTTTTATGGACATTTTCTGGGCTGAGAATCATCCATTTGGGGCCAAAGAAAACGCTACAGAAAAATGGATTTTAATAATGTACCCGGGGATAAGTTTTATTACGTTAGGTAATAAAGTGCGAGAAAATGAAGGTCGGAAGTCAATTTATATAAGGCTCTAGAGGGTGTCAGTCTGTCGACACCAACAGAGGTTGTTAATAAGGGTCTGTTACTTTTATCATCCTGAAGGTTTAAAATCTAATCATTTCTGATAGTCACAAGGAAGCAACATTTAAGGAAAGTAGGTTTCAAATATAATGTGTAGAATTCCCTGAGCCAAAAGGACGTTGTTTTGTCAATCCTAATTAATAGGGACAGGTCAAGTTGCCTGTGTTGCCTGTGTTGCCTGTGTATCCTTGTTTCGGTGGAACACACTGTGGTGGTACTGGAGATGAAGTGAGGCACAGCTCCAGTCAGGAGACTTCTCCAGCAAAGCAATGCCTCAAAATTGGCAGTGGAAAAGCAAACGCAGTGAGAAATTATTTGGGTTTTCCCCAAATCCTTATTTTCCAAATCTAATTTTCCAGACCATATTTACCACAGAAATATTAATGCCAGTAATTAGTGGAATCAGCGCAGATGGTAAGACACGGTTGCATTTTTTTGTCTTGTTCACTCCTTTAATTAAAAAAAAAAGAAAACAACAGACAGCTGCCTTTTGGATGTGCCTTTCACAGTGCAGGCCAGTCATATCAAGCAGCTGGGTGAGAACCAACATCAGAGCTGGTTTCATGTGGCTGTTATGGTAGAATTATTGACATCAAATAAGAAAAATGGAACAAAGAACGGTTCTACTTACTCTCTAAATCCCTGGTGTTCATGGCAGAATATTGTTTTGTCCAGTTACGTGACCCAACCTTGCACTACAGTATTGTTGGCGCATCAGTCTGTCTCTTACTGTAAAATCCCTCCAGCTGCAATCTAAGCACATGTTCTCCTAGTCAGCAGTTTTTCTGGCTTGGCCAAATAATTTAGCGACAGCCTAGAGTGTGGGGAGCACCCCAGTAGCTGTCACATTGGAAGGCTGAGGTTAACACTCCTTAAGCCAAGGAGTGAAAGTTAAAAAGAAAGACAAAATTGGCACATTTTTATAAATGGAATATCGGTGTTTCAATGACATTGGGTCACATGATGAGGCCAGTAGCCACGATGACCTTAAGGTGACTTTAAATCCATCTAAAGCAGTGGATGGTGCCCAAAGGGGTGAAGGTGAGGTTCGGAGGGTGGAGTGGATTATCATGGCTGACGTGTCACTGAAGGATAGCAGCTAAAGTGAAAAGAAAGGTTAGCGGGAGCAGTGACACCTGCTGTGATGGATGGTTTGAAGACAGGAGACTGAGCTGGAGCTGGTGAAGCTGAATATGATGAGATTGAGCAGAATGGACAGGATTAGAGCACACGGGAACGACGGCTTAGGTTCTGACGAAAACTGACTGGGTGTGTAGAACAGAGACTGTTGACCAGAGCTGCACAACAGGGGAGAGAGAAGAGCCCCCCCCCCAGAGGATTTGTATGGTTTAATTGCATTGGGAATGCAGATGGTAGATTGTATAACAGTAGAGCAGGCATGGAGTAGGGTGAGATGGAGGCAGATGACTTGCCGTGTCAATCCAGGAATGGAGCCGCTAAAAGAAGCATCCGAAGAAAGTGTTGTTCCGTTACTGTTTATACAATTTTTAATCCAGCAATTAGCACGTAGCATCAAAGTCTGAGAGGGTTCATGGCTTAAGGGTTTAGGAAGGAGCTTTGCCGACTCCCTGGGTTCTCCCACCCTCTCAACATTTCCTCCTAGTCTCTATCTACCAGAATTAATTGGGCAAAGTTACGAGTTATTGGTTTTAAAATCAGTATTGATTTCTTCAAGCTGTGTTTGTACCACGTACAGTGGGCATCACTAAACGCCGGACCGAGTGGTGGTCCAGAGCTGTTAACAATCTCTGATAAACTCACAAGATTAGATGATTTTCATGAAGCATTTTTTTTCCCAACGGTCGTGGCTATAGACAGATGGTGCTGCTATTCCAGATAATACGACTACTGCTTCACTCAGTTGAGCCAATCAAATGATTGGTTTACCATGCATGGCCAGTGCACCCGAGCAGAGAGGAAGAGACAGTGATGACAGAATGGCCTGCTCCAAATGAAGGAAGGTTGGTGAGGAAAACTGTTAATTTAAAAAATAGAATAGACAGAAAAATTGATGTTGATGATTTATGTTCCCGTAAGCAGTTTTAAAACGTGCGATATATATATTTTGAAAATGAGGCATTTATTAATTAATGGTGGAAACGTGAACAACAAGGTTGTCCCCTGAGGTCCGAGCTGAGGGATGTATGTGTTTCGCACCAAATTAATCACGATTAACCACGATCGAATAAAATGTGACACAGTTGACAAAGATAAAATGGTTAAAATCAGAAAAAGATCCCAGGTTTCAAACGTTTTTGTCCACATAACAATAATTATGAATAGCCGACAATTCTGATGGATCAGAAATTAAACACAAATAAAAAAAAACTCACTCTCTGGCCGTGCTGCCAACACCATTTTTTTCACAACAGAGAGAAGGAATGAATTGCTGCTGTTGCTGTATTGGACATGTGGCTTTGTTGTCCTCATTTTCAGTTATCTCTTCATATTGATTTTTGTTCTTCTGTTTTCTCTGGTCTAGTGAGCTAAATGCTAGCGTTGCCCTGTGCCCCTGCTGGGGTTGGTAATCACTCTCAGTGGCACCCGTTGTTTTATGTCAGGCACAAAGCTTATTAACCGACGTGTCGTCTCTGAGTTATTAGAAACAGGAAGTAAATGTGGGGATTCTTAAGTGGAAAAGTTGGGAATACAGAAAGTAAGACATTAAAGTTGAGCTTTTATGTTTCGGCAGATAATGAAAACAAGGGAACAAGGAGATTACATGCATTACTGGGCAATGGGAAACCAATACCACAAAGTTCAAAGACACGGGATACTACTGTACACAAGGACATAGAGCTGCCGTGTTTTGTCTTTCTGTTCCAGCAACATACTAAAACATGTTTTATGTCATATTTAACAGGGATATTTAACATAATTAATTATGATTAAACAAAAGGTAATATATATATATATATATATGACAGCCTGACAAATATAAATTCTATTTGTAAACCTAATGAATAAACAGCACAGAGCCACACCCTGCTGAGTGATTTATATTCATCCTTCATACTCTGAGGTAATGTTTGCCCTTGGAAGAATTAGTTTGTGAAAGGATGAAGCGGCCTGTCTCCGAACCTCTGGGACCAACAGACACATTCGCTCTTCCTAGTTTTAAAACTCTGTAATTATTAGCTTTCTCCCTCGCTGTATCATCATACGGCAGACGAGATCATCATACGGTAGACTCTCACAGCCCATTAAAGAATGCTCAGTGGTCACAGGGGACAGTTCTGGAACCCCAGTGAATTGTTTGCTCTAAACAGTGTAGTAATCCCGGCTAACAAGCTTGTTAAACAGAGCTTAGTTTTAGTCCAATTTGAAAGTCAGCTTTTGAACCTACTGTGTCAATCTGACAATCTGATTCTACTATCATTTCTGCAGATATCAAATGCTTTGACTTGTCTTGAATATTAAAAAGGTTGTTGTTCATTGTGAGAGAGAATGCTTCAGACTGCATTTAAAAAACTACCAAATAACAGTCATTTTATAGTTGTTATTTTCTTTGTAGTCCTGGTCGGGAATTCCTTTAAAATAAATGTAAACAATTACCACACCATCAAACCAAATTATTTCTGAAATGCTGCCATCTGTAGGTCTGTTTAACATTTTGTAATTCATTTTATAAAACCTACAGTTTATCAACTTATGATCAGTTATTTCCTGTAAAACTTGTTGTTTTACTCGTCATCCTTAGCACAGCGATAACTCTAAATCTGCCAATACTTTTCCACCCGGGTGTATTTCAGCAGCGTCATTGTTCCTTCATCCCAATAATATAACAAAGTACGAAAGAACACAAGCCCATCTGGGGAAAATGAGGAATATATGTCAGCCACAGTCTGAACTGAATACTCCAAAATGAAGGCGAGAGAGGAGAGGTCTGCCGCTAAGATGAAATGCATAGAGTTCTTAATGTCTCTGTGACACTCTGTCATTATATGTGTGAAAGAAAGAGTGAGCTTGAGATTACATCTGTCAGACGGCGCTCTCAGATCCATAACACTCTCACAAAGTCGAAAAATGTTTGGTTCTGCCGAGGCCAGAAGATCTCTCTTTATTTATTTTACATTCAGATATTACAGTAGTTATTTGGTACCACTATACCATAATACTGTCCTTTATTAGTTTTTACTATCCATCCATCCATCCATACATGACGGTGGCTTGAAGAACACGTTGCGAGATAAATGCAACTTTCTAAACTCTGCCCTCATCAGTAATGATCAGTCTACAGTCAGTCTACATTCCCTCACGATCCTCGTCAGGCCTAGACCTTCTCTCTGCCCTGTGCCTGCGGAGGCTGCTCTGACACCTGCACTGTCTGACCTGAGCTTGAAGCCTACACCAACGCACGCTTGGCGTGGAGATGGTATTTTAAGCTTAAGCTGCATTGCGAAACCTGAACACGACCATTTTCCTCTTGGTCCTTTTTGAGTCAGTAATGCTGTCTACCAGAATGTCTTCTTAAGAATATACAAGCAGAGAGAAAGTACTGTGGAAATGATATTTCAGGATGTTTTTAGGTGTACAACGTGTGGATTACACATGAGACCCCTGATTGGTGTAATAATGTAACCACTGAGGTAGTCACGGAAACCATAAAGAAGTAAAAAAAAAAGTTGAGTTTGAGAATTGACTGTCACATGGAGGCCACAATAGTAGGTTTGTGTCTGATGATGACTCATCCATCATGGCTGTAACGAGTATCTTTAGGAAATGTAGGAATGGAATTTTGCACAATTAGATGAAGTGACTCACTTCTGCTGCAAACACTTTTTTATGGCTCGCCCTTTCCAAGTTAACTTGACATCAAACATTGAGTCTCTACTGTAACTGAGAGACTGCTGCGTGTACTGAGTACTGGATAATTGGTGGAGAGTTGTTTCCTTCACACGTTTGAGAGGCGTGATCAGGATGGGACACTCACTAAAATCATGAACCTCACTCAACCACTTTGCATTTCCATTTTCAAAATCCTGCTATTTGAAAAAAGCAACAATTGCTTTGCCATCTCTTTGAATGATAAAACATACTTTTTGACAGAAGCAGGTGAAATATTTCTTTTAAATCACAGTCTAAATATTAAGGAACCAGCGGTTTGTAAAAAGTTGTCATATGCATCTATCTTTGCTTTTATTCATGGTATGGTAGTATCAGGTTCAGTCTTTTATGAGTGGGTAGATGGAAGGATCAAATGAAAAAGTTTTTGGTCCTCAAATGATAATATTAAAGTCACGGCAACATTGTCCTGAAATTTCTTACACACAGAAGATCCTGGGTTCGATTTCCACATACTTAATGGCGCCGTGCTGTGGCGACCTGGGTGAGTTGCAAAGACTCACACTGAATTTCCCCCTGTTGGGACAAATAAGGGACTACAATTATACTAATAAATGTAGTGAGATTTTTGTTGATGTATGACTAATGTATTAGAATTGTTTCGTTTGTTGCTATTTGTTGTGTGTATAAATAGTTTTTTATCATTTCATTTGCCTGAAGATTTTTTTTTTCATCAAAGACTTCAGTCATCTCAGTTTCTCTCCAGGGCTGTAGCTACAGAAGTTCTGTTTTTCCTGACATACATCTTTTTTGTACATCACAGCCTGAGAAGTTTTCCTGTAACTTTACATTAAACATTTCCTTTTTAAAATCCCACCTCACCGTCCACAGCAGCCTGGTTAAGTCACTCTGGTCTCTGAGGGTTCTTTGTCGGCTTTTCATCTTCAGAGAGACTGGATTAAGGCAAGCAGAGAGACACAGAACAGGGGAAGAGCAATCTGAAAAACACGGCTGTACAAAAAAAAAAAAACCCTAAAAATTCAGAAGTTCACGTCAGGCAATCAGACATTAAGAAGAGGTCATTATGCTGTTAAATTATCACTCTTATTGTCTAATGCTGGACAATCACAATGTGACAGTGTCATTTAGAACTTTAGAATAAAATGATTTCAGCGTTGACAAAGCCACATCTTTTAGTCTTCATTCAGCTCTAATATCCACCTAACCTGCTTGTGACTGTGCTTCCCCATTCCAGATAAACTCTACCTAGTGTCCGAGCCCTCAGCACCATGGCCGTCTCTGCGTCTGGATGGACCGTGTTCACTTTCCTCCTCATTAGCAGGTAAGACTCTCTCCAGCAGGAGAAATGCAGCGGCTGGGCTCTGTTCACTGGCAGGAAGCATAATCTTGTCATGTCAGGCTCCTAATTTGGAACAACAACAAAGCTTGTGATGCTGCGGGTTAAGGAGGAGATAGAGTTCTCCTGGTTTTATCTTAATGCTCAATAAGAACTCCCCATGCATCGGGCAAAAAAGCCCTAAAATTCCACTGGCACTTTCAGAACACTGCTGAGCAGAAGCAATGAGGCAGCATCCGACGCCACATGCATCAGTCATTGCATACAATTGGTGTAATAATCCCGGCAGAGGTCACACAGAGAGGAGCATGCAGCGTTTGGGAGCACATTTGTGGGATACTGTGAAGAGACGTCTCCTCTCTGCTGACGGTTTATTTTCAAAGCTGCCGTAAAAATGCACTTCGCACATATGAAGAGCAGAGAACCATCAGACACCACTGCTAGACCAGGAGTGTCCAAATGATCTACCTGAATATACCTGATATGTGCATGAGATTTTGATTAAATAAAGGCAGCTGTGTGGCCAGGACCATGTTAGTCCTGGCGATAAGCATCTAAAAATAGAATTTCATCTGCATTTTTAATTTTTATTTTAATTGCTCGTGATCTAGCAGTTTTCCCTTTGAGATCCACTGATAAACTGTGACTCATCAGACGCCACTGTGCTGAAAGATCTTTTTTATATTCACTTCATTACATGGTTGCATGTCCAGATTCATCTGCTTTAGTGTGGTTATGTTATCATAACAGTAGATACTTAATTGGATCTGAGAGTTTAAGAGACTCCTGAAGATGACTCCATGGGTCAGTGTGATGATTAAAACCATCGTCAAATATCACTGAAGTGCTCACTCTTTGGACATCGACACTCTTTGTCTAGGTTAACCACATGTTTCTGTTAATATTCATTTGTATCAGCTGTGGAAGAATAACTTTAAATGAAATCACAATAGCCAACAATCAATGCCAACTATCATTTTCACTTCACCCAGTTGTATCTGTATGTTCTGAGGAGGCAGATGAAGTTTCTATCCTTTGGTCTTTGTTTGTGAAACTTCAGTGTGAGACGAGGCTCAGACTTCAGTCTCATCCACAGATGTTAAGCACTTACACCAATAAGAAAAAAGGCTTTGGTTCTCATGGCAACTGATGGTCTTTCTGTGAGGGGTGCTCTTGTTTTGTCTGTGTGTGGGTTTTCTGCAGCCCCTCCAGATATGTAGGGTTTGGTCAATGGAACACCACAGGTACTATTGTGAGTGTAAATGTTGTGGACTGGTCACATCTCCACGGTGTGTCTGTCCTCTTAAAAAAATATTCCACATTCACAGAAGACATTTATTAGTTGGACCATAGACAGTACTACACAGTGTATCAACTACTGTATATTCATCGTATGTACTATGTTTAGATGCTACGGTAGAAATGCTGTCATTTGATCTTAAAAACACATCAGCTTCTTGAATCTTAATGAATGCCTTTGAACTTTAAAAGGCGAAGAGACAGAAACATCAGAAAACAACAGCATTTTTTTCTTTCTCCTTTTCAACAGAAAACATTATTTTCTTGCAGTCAGGACCTTTTCTGCACGCCCAGACGATGAAAGCACATCTCATTTTATGACATGCATATAAAACGAAACGAAAGGAAAATGTGGAAATAACAAATGTGAAAAATGGTTATAGTGGAGACACCCGACCTGACAAAGTACACGTACCTTCATGAATATTAGTATATTATATATTCATTATGTATCAAAGTGATTCAGCAAACCTAATTACGAGAATTCAAACTCCAGGTTACATTCTGTAGGCATTATTAATGAGAACCATGGAACTCAAACGTTTTATGGAGATGACCTTTAACCTTGGTTGTGCTGAAACTGTCCTGACCCTCACCTCCTTCCTGTCGTAGCCTGTACTGATGAAGGCTCATAAAAGGTCTTGAAGGTCACACATCCATCAGTAGGAGAAGCCTCACAGAGACATGAATGCTCTGCTCTGAACTCCCTGGGAAGACAAATGTCCTCCTCCATGTTGAGGTTATACAGCAATACTCTGAGAACCATTCTAATGTACTGGGAAGGGATTGATGTCAACCCACTCTCAGACAGATTTTGTTCCTGACATGATGTAGCTCTGACAACGATGGAGCGTGCCTTCTCTCCATGAGGCAGCAGAGAAAGAAAGATATTTAACAGGACAGGCTGAAGAATCACAACTGAGCTTCAGGTTCAAGTTTTAAATTAAAGGGAAACGTGTGTTTTTTTGGTTTTTATCTGTGAAGCAAAAGTTGTTCTTAAAAAAATCACTATCGATCTAAAATCTTAGAATCATTCCAACCATCCATCTGTCCATCCATCTGTCCATCCATCTATCTGACCAATCAGAATTTGTTCTGTAGTCTGATCTGTTACACAGAGTGGCACCTACTGTAGTACTTTTCACTGATATGTGTCAGTGGAGGACCAAACCAAGGCCCAAATTACGGCATGCTTATATTCACACCATCATGTTTGTTGCCACGGTGACGTCACCAACCATACGTTTTTCCAAGTGGCTGAATGTAATTGAGTGTCTTTGCTTGTTTTTGTTGTTGTCCAGGATTATATAAATAGTTTTGTAAAAACACTTTAGCTTGATTGGCTGATTGGCTGAGTGGTGTTTCTGGTGGACCACTTATGTAAATCGTTGCCGTTGATGTGGAACATCTTTCTGCTTTTGACAAGTAAATCTTCCCTCTGATGTCTGAGCTGATGCTTGAGACTATTTAAATTTTGAAAAAAAAAAAAAAATCCGTCCAGTTATATTTCAGCTATGCAAAGTGGCATAAGCTGCATGGTTGAATTGGTTACTGTGTCTTTTACCATGAAGAAAGGTAAAAGTAGAAAGAAAAAAACCCCAACAGATTTATATGGAGGGCTTTAACATACCTATAATAAATGGTGACTACACACAGTTTAAATAACCTTGATACATGTGTTGTTTAGTAACTATTAAGTCAAGATTAACAAATTTATATTTTTCACTTATTGTATTTTAAATATATATTGACCTATGTCAATTCTATGCCTTTTAATTTAGTACTGCCACTATAATATTCTTTAGTATCACTTAACGGGCCCTACACAAACATAAACGACTCAAAACATCATTTTAAGCCGGTGACTACATCTGTTGGATGAGATGACTACTCCTGCCTCATTTACTTTCTGACACAGCCTGTCTCACAGAAGACAAGTGAAAGACACTGAGTCAGAAGTGCCCGTCCTTTAAAGTCCTTTAAACCCATCATCCTGATTGTAAAGTTTTGACAGCACATGGTCATGATGAGGATGAATAGTGTTTTCTCTGAGGACTCCTGAGTGTGTGAGCTGTAATTCTGACAGAATTACCCATGGAGGTACTGTTGTCTCATCTCAGGACTAAAGATTTGTTCTTCAATCATACTTAGCACTGCAGTACAAATGTCCAACACGGGGCAAATTCTGTCACCCTGCTGCAGTCCCAAGCCTTGAGATCACACATTGGTTCTCTCTGATCACGCTATGACAACATAATGTGTGCTCAGTCCTGAGGTGTTCTTGTACTTTATGTGAAAAATGATGGTGTGTGTTATTTCATGATCACACCTGATAAGAGATTATTATTGGATGGGTTAAAATAAAGTTTGACAGGCACAATCATCTGTGACAAGTCAACCACCAGAGAACAGAAATTTGAGCCAAAGACCAGAAGGTTTCTGCTGTTCGAACCATGCAGGCAGGCATTAAAGTGTTTGAAATCCCGTCTGGTTGACAGGCTGTTTTTAGAGAGAATTGCTTCAGGTTGTGTCATCAGAAATGTGTAAGCAGTAGTGTTCAGTGGCCTGAAACAAGAAAATGGTACAAGTGTCAGTGATGCAACTGGAAAGAAGAGAAAACAAGTAAAATTTGTAGAGCTAAATAGTTTTTGACTGATCATTTAAAAATCACTGAGATTGTTTTTTCCCGGGTCAGAAACTCTCTGTGTCTCTCTGTCATTAAGACCAGACAGGTCAAGACAAAGTCTCTTGGACGCCATAACAGGGAAAAGATGGATTCTCTACGCATCAACTGCAGCGCTACATTACCATGGCTAAATAGTGGGCTGTCGATTAATTAACAGTTGTGAATTCATCACAATTAATCAAGATTTATTCCTATTTTTCTTTATTTTTTTAGTATAATCTGATTGATGGAATTTTTATTAAGGAGAAAATATCAAGAACAATTAGCGAAAGTATAACTGAAACTTTTTTCACTTGGGAATTCTTCATGATATGATTGTACCTGGCTGTGTTTTGTATATTTTATTAGTGTTTCCCTGTCGATCTTGTCGTGTTATGACAGCCTTTCATGCAGTACCTGTGTTTTGTGTACATGTGTTTGTTTGAACTGTTGCTGGAATGATTGTATCAGAGATTGCGTCCTTGTCTAACCAGCGTGGTTCCCCCTCAGACAGTGGCTTGCAGACATATGTGCACGGCGCCTCCTCAGACAACTGCTCTCTTAAGGCTAAAAGCCATTTCCACACTGATTGCCATGCACCACGTCGATCCCCACGCCACAGGATACTTCTTTTGATGATTTAAGGATAACTTTCAAGTCGCTGCGATCAACTGAAACTCTGTCCGAGGTTACGCAAAGTTCAAGGCACAAAACTTTTGACAGTCATGTCAGTTTGCACGAGCTTACAACACCCAGTTACTCCCAGTCACTCACACTCACGCTCACAACACTTTTCTTATCAGTTCCTTAAATAAATTTGGTCAGTAACAGTGATTGGCAGGTTTAATTATATGTCGTCAATAACTCCCATAAGCCCATGAGATGCAGGAATTAATTAGTCATCACCTGCTAACTTAACCACCTTTGAGGAGGTATTTAGGCATCCATTTAACAAACGTTAAAATGAAAGAATGGCAATATTCTTGAACAAGCCTCCAGCCCATGAGATGCAGGAACTAAT